TCCTGAAACAATGGATTTACACACAACATCATCACTTATGAGTAATGTGGTATTCCAAAGTTCAAACTAATAAAATCTTTATTGGCACACACTGCTGTACATGACTTTATGGCAAAGTCTATCTATCTTCCTTGACCTCAAACAAACCAAAACCAGTGGCACAGGCTGCCCAGGGAAGTGGTAGAGTCATGGTTTCTAGAGGTGCTGAAGAACTGTATGGATGTGGCACTGAGGGACATGGTTAATGGGAGTGATGGGGGTGGGCTGATGGTTGGACCAAAGATCTGAGAGATCTTTTCCAATCTTAATGACTCTATGGTTCTGTCTATGAGTTAAGACTAAAGCTCTGACTCAAAAAGCTAAATGTCTGTGGCTACCACTTATTTATCCCAGAGCCTAAAAGCAGGGCACTAAATCTGGGGTTCTGACGACAAATTTCAAAGCATGTCACCAATAAAAGACTTTTCTATTTTATATACAAGTCATTCAGGAGAACACATTTAAATTTCTAGCCAGTATACACATCATCTAGCCCTATGGTTGCATGCGATAGCTTAACACATCCTTCTACTTGTTACAGTATATTCTTTGAAATGAGGGAAACAACTGAACATCGGTACTTCTGAGGACATTCTCTTTATAGGGGCAAGGAAAATAAATAAATAAAAAAAAAATACTTGGAGCAGACTGCCCGTAGAACCTGTGGCCCATCTCTGGAAGTACTCAAGGCTAGGTTGGATGGGACCCTGGGAAACCTGAACTGGTGGAGGGCAGCTCTGCCCATGGCAGGGTTTGGGACTGGGTGGGCTTTGAGGTCCCTTCCAACCCAAACAATTCTGTGATGCTATGAGTTTATGATACTCTTTCATTCCTGAATCTCCAGATCCAGTCAGAATACTGCCCGTGAGAGGAGAAGCTTAGCCTTCAGGTGAAGGAAGTAGACAGTGTTCTCTCACATGCAAACCATACTGTAAATCATAAATGGAATTCATTCTAAAATCATAAGATCCATGTCTCTTCTTTTGACTTTTCCCGCAAATGAAGAAAATCTTTCTGGAAAATACTGCTGCAAAAGTGTCAGTAACTGCTGTCCTGACTTCATGATCAGGGAGGGTGGATTTAGGGTGGATATAAGGAAAAAATCTTTTACAGTGAGAATGGTGAGACAGGAACAGGTTATTACCTAGTGTTGTGGTCAATGTCTCACCCCTGGAGACTAATGAGGCTAGTCTGGATAAGGCTCTGGGCAACCTGTTCCTGTTCATTGTAGGGGAGTTGGAACAGGTGGCCTTCAGAGGTCCCTTCCAACTCTTAGGATTCTATGATACTATGATACTGTGATTCTATGATTCTATCATTCTGTGATTCGATGAAAAGAGCAGTGCTGCACATCCTCTCCAGTTATCTGACTTGTGCCTTAGGATATCACAGTGAACTGAGCATTAGCTTCAATAATGTCAGTGGAAAAGAATTGGTTAGATCAAGACAGCATGACTCACAATTGCCCTGTTCTCTAGTAACACTTCATAATGCCCATTTGACCAACAAGCTGAGGGTTTTCAATTTGCCACAAGAGGGGAAAGAAGGCATTGGGTGGGAAGGTGCTAAAGCCCACAGATGTGATGGAAGAGCTCTTCTCATGGGAAACTTTTTTCACTGCTGTTGTTTATTCTCCTTTCTTCTCCTCATTTCTTCTCCTTTTTTGTTTTCCCTCTCCTCTCCTCTCCTCTCCTCTCCTCTCCTCTCCTCTCCTCTCCTCTCCTCTCCTCTCCTCTCCTCTCCTCTCCTCTCCTCTCCTCTCCTCTCCTCTCCTCTCCTCTCCTCTCCTCTCCTCTCCTCTCCTCTCCCCTCCTCTCCTTTCCTCTCTTCTTCTCTCCTCTTCCTTTTTTTTCTTTTCTTTGATATGAAAAGTGAGAAGCTGGTAAACGTGAAGAAAAATAAAATGAGTGAAAGACATAATTAATCTTGATACTGGTGATTTCCACTGCAGTGATAAAAACAGAGATAGTAAGTACATTGACACAGACCTTAAAGAGTGAAGAGAATGTGGGCAGCAAGCAGTTACTAGAGCTGATACCAATTAATGTTATGCCAAAATAAATTATCTATTTTTTGGTAGATTATACGGCTGAGTTTATCTAGCACTGAGATGGGAATTACCTCTGCTTCATGACACACCATACAGCAGGGAACATTTGGCTTTCAAGCTTGTTGACATAGATGCCATGTACCTGAGTGTGATATGAGATGCTGAGGGTCAGTGTCTGCAGCTCATGCTGCTTTCCGTCTCAGTCAGTCCTGTGCTGAAGTTCTGTACCCTCGCTGGTCCCGGAGATGTTGGGGACTCTGCTCTTGGGGAAATTGTAATATGGAGAAGAATGTTCCCAAGGCACAAGACAGCCCATCAGAGAAGGGGGGGTCTCCCAGCCAAGGAGATGTGCAGGTGTGTCCCCGGCACCGCGGCACCTCGTCATGGCTCTGCCCCTGACAGCTCAATGCATCTGCTCCTGCCTCAGAACAATTTGGTGTCAGGTCACTCCGCACTGTTTCATGGACAGCACAAACAGAATCACGCCTGAATGCAGCTGAGACATAAGGGCCTTCCCACCATACACCCACCAATGCTTCATTGCCCCCACTGCACCCTGCCATCTGCACCCGTGTGTACTTTCATCCCTTGTTCTACTCCGCATTGCCTGTTCTATCAGAGACAGTACTAACAGTGCTTCACGTGACAGAATACATGCTGTTTTATACATCAAGAGAGTAACCCACATAATTTACTGTATTTACCTTTTAATCCATCTATTGATTACTGCTGTCAGTTACTACTAGAGCAAGGAACAGCTCTGGTACCCGCAGTGTGCTCATGGGAGTCACCACTACCACACGGGTTTGCAGTAGTTGGGTGTGCTTTGAACCATTGAGAGTCATGGCAACTGGATTTTCCTTTTGCTGGGGCTTTCTCACTTTGAGTCATATGGTTTTACATCAGCAGTTAATATTAATCCTGCTTTAGCTATGTGGTAGGAAAAAAATCTGTCTGTATTGCGACTGTCAAAACTGCTTTCATAATGAAATAAAAACAGATTGATTTTACAAAATGAGAATTATCACTGTATCAGAAATTAACTCTATTTTTAGGTATGAAGTCTGAAGTCTGAATCACAGAATAGTTTGAGTTGGAAGGAATGCTTAGAGACCAGCTAGTCCAACTCTCCTGCAACAAACAGGGATACCTGCAGGTTGATCAGGTTGCTCAGAGCCCCATCCAGCCTGACCTTGGATGTCTCCAGGGACACCATCCATCACCTCTCTGAGCAATCTGTGCCAGTGCTTCACCACCCTTGTTGTAAAAAACTTATTCCTTGTGCCCAACCTAAATCTCTTTTAATTGAAAACCATTTCCTCATGTCCTGTCACAGCAGACTCTGCTAGAGTCTGTCCCCTCCCATTTTACAGCCCCCCCTTTAGATATTGATAGGACCTGATACTCGCAGGTCTCCCCGGAGCCTTCTCTGCTCCAGGCTGAACAGCCCCAGCTCCCTCAGCTCTTTGTTCTTATTTTCTGACCTTTGGGATCAGGAAAACATTTCTAGAAAAAGCTACTCTGACTATTTCAAAAGTGGATCTCCTGGGAGCAATATCTTTGGTGATTTCTAGTAAACATGATTAAAAAAAAAAAAAGACTGCAGTGAAATCATAAATTTATTAATAAATGCTTGCCCATCATTTTAATTGTTGTTTTATACAGGCATTTTCAGCAGATTGAAAAAAGAAATAGAAAGAAAGAAAAAGACATTCTGGTGGTACTCTACAGAAATACTACAATGAGTTCTGTTCAGAGGATCTTCGAGATTGCTTACTACTAAGATTTCTCTGACCGTCCACAGTACAGTATTGTAGCTTTCATAGAATCATAGAATTATTTGAGTTGGAAGAGACTCTTAAAGGCCATCTAGTCCAACTCTTCTGCAATGAACAGGGATACCTACAGTTACATCAGGTGCTCAGAGCCCCATCCAGCCTGAGCTTGAGTGTCTGTTTTCCTGGCTTAGAAGAGAGGAATAAACTTTTCTTTTTTTTAGCCACTTCTTTAAAACAGACAGAAAGTTTTTCTCTATTTTCTCCTGAAGTGTAATACAAGAGACTTAAACACAGGACATTTTGCTAAAATGCATTAGTGCATTACTAAAACAAAGTTGTTAACAATTAAAGTATTTCTATGTGAACAAAGAAGGGGGTTTTCATGTTACCTCAGGTAAAGGGAGATCTTTTCAACATCCACAGCTGCATGGGAAGGGCAGTACTGCATGGAAGAGATATATCTGTGACACATGTAACCAAAATGCTCCAAGTTAAGAGAAAACACACACCAAAGAGGTGAGAGAGACTTTTTTACTTATACAGAAATAGCTTCAAGGGAAATCTGAGGATTATAAAACACAAACATGCTTGACTGACCGTCATTTTATTCAGGGAGGGGCACCAGCAACGCACTCTCAGAATTATCTTAGCAAACATTTCTTAAAATCTCTCTTCCACTAGAGCCAAAGTTCTTTTTCCTAGGGCTGTGCCATCATGGCCTTGACCATGTAACTGTCTCTAAATCCATTAATTAGCAGAAGTGTATCTCGGCTATTAAGTGATTTATTTTGTGAAATCCATAGCCTATTGAGAATGTGCTTTTTTTCCACAGCTCTTTCCAGGGCTGCTTGGCAACTGTCCCCATAAATTGGTTCTACCAAGGTGCTGTGCCTTCCAGAGATAGTTACTTTAATGGCAGCAATTTAGGTGTATGGGCCTGAACTTTGGTAAGCTGATTTAATGCCTTTATGACGTTAACGGTAGTTTCTCCACAACCTTGAATTTACATTGGAAGAGATTGAGAAAGCGCATGGGTACCTCATCTGCCAGAGGTTGGGGAGTGAAGGCAGGAGCAGCCTGCAGAGCTGCTCCGTTTGTGGGTTCAGGGCAGAGCTACACTGGTGTCAGGGCAATTGCGTTGCATGTGGGTGCTCTCCTAAAGAGTTCTCCCCAGGCCTTCCCCAGCCAGGATCTTTATGCTCATGGTTTCTGGTCCCTGTGAGTAAGCACCTCTGGCAGGTTCAGCCCTGGGATGGCACTTCTTGCTTTGTGACAAATAATGGAGAGGGTTTTGTGGTGCTACAGGGCATCAGAATTAAACCTCATCTGGAAGAACACACACTGCACTGCACCCTCCATCAACTACTGCAGGAGAGATCACTGGTATTTCTAGAGGTATGTTATAACCCACAAAGGGTAATAATCTGTGAAGTTAGTTTTTCGCTTGTTCCTCTTAAGAAAAGTGTACTCAATCTGCTCATGACAGCACAGGCAAAAGTGAGGGGATTTTTGTGCAGTTTCTCCTTTCTTTCATTACTTGTGCTTTAAGTGACCTTGATATCACTGGAAAAACTACATTGTTATGCACATTTGCTGGAAACCCAAAACCAAAGATGACAGACTGTTCTCCATCCCTTAGGGATTAGAACAATCTCATTGTTTAATAGCTAAGCGACAGGTTTAATGTTTAAACGGTAAATTCCCTCTTTAGCTCATTCTGCACCAGAACACTTGGTTGTTGAATGATTTCTGAGACTGTGTCCCCACATGAGGTGTCAGAAATAGTCATTGCTCTCTAGCCTGGAATTGTCACTGTCATGAATACAGAAATACCCATTTAAATGTTTAACTTCTTGGGAAGTGTAATTTTAAATGCGTCCCTGTGAATTCAAGCATTGGATTTGGTGACTTGGCAAGGCAAAGGCTGCCCATGTTCTGGAGTGTGAGGAGGCTTTCTGCTAAGCTACATTTCAAGCTTGCTTTTTGTTAGCAGACAGATGGCACAGGCATATAAAACAAACACTTCCTTTCAAAATGCAGTGGGTTTTAGATGTTGGGGTTTTTTTTTCACCTAAAGAAAAAATAATTATGAATGTTGTCTTGTTTATTAAGCAGTTATGAAGCAAGTAAAATTATGTCCAAGGCATGGTCTGTCTCGAATGAAACTAACTGCTGCCTTATCCCCAGTCTGGCCCATAATGACCAGTTCCTCTGGCCCAGGAGCTTTCTTCTGTGTGCTTGCACCCAGCTCATCAGCACAACCTGAGGTCAGCCTCTACCTCCACTGCCATGAGCTCTTCTGTATAGGCATAGTGGGTTAGATGTAGGCCATTGGTAAGTGATTTTATTAAAGGACTGAGATTTTCAGGAAGAGTTTAGAAACCACAAGAACATCACCCTATAGTCAGAGTTGCAGACTACTCTATAACCAAGCTCATTTCTCACCAACCCCTTGTTTCTCCCATCCTCTTGTCTCACCCCTTTTTGCCAAGAACCTACATGTGAAACATGGATACACTCACTCTGTGTTGGTTCAGGGCTGAACAGCATTAATCATCACTGAGAACTGGGGGGAAACATCCTTTAGCAAGAACACAAACGAAATTGCTTAAATCCTCCACAGCCCCCCCAAAATTATATTATCTATAATTTTCCAGGTTCAGAAATACGCATTTCAAGAGTTGATGAAGCTTACTTGTTTTCTGTGATTTAAGTTTATGCCCTGCTTATCCCCTTGATTTTCTGTTTTGTTGTTGTTTGTTCTGTTTTGATCACTGAAGTTCATTGGTCACTGCTGGCAACTTTATGTCACTGTTTTCATTGCAGAGGGTTAAAAAAATCCTCGCAGAATATTTCACTGTCTATCTCAGCTGATTGGTTTTACGAGCAGCAGACAGCTGTTGTTAGCACGTAGGTTTTCCACATGGCTTGGTGGAAGTCTGGCTTTAAATTTTACATGGAATGTCATAGATGCCTTGTTTTTGAAAGAAATTAATGCAATTTTGTTGTTCCCAGGTCATGTGTAAAACTAAAACCTTCTTCACCTCCTCACACACGTCCTTGGGGAAGTTAGAACAGAACAATCAGGTCAGAAATTAATGAAAAATGCTTTTCTTTTAAATTATTTTTAATTTTTTTTTTAAATTTTATTAAAATTTTATTTTATTTTCCATTAGAATGTTGGCTTTATGTTGATGATCACCCAAAGAACAGGAGGTTTGAGTTTATGAGGTACCACAAGCATGTTAAATGATGTTAAACAGAGCCTCTATCTGAACTACTCAATTGCAGTGGCTGTCAAGCAGCAAAATACTTGTTTTATTCTGTTTCTTAGTAGAAAAACCTTTGCTTGAACTCAGAGATGACAAGGCTGGACACAATGCCTTGTAACTTTTCAAAAGATCTCAGAGAAAATGTAAAATATTGCCATTATCAGAGTTTTCTGAATAAAAAATCAATAGTAATAGTACAATTTAGCAATATTAAGAAAGTTTTCAAATAAATATGATGATGTTTTAAAGGGGAAGAGGCACATGGAAACCAAGAAGAATATGAAAGATGAGAACTAGATTGGAAACCTTTCAGATGAGTGAAAATTTAGTTAACTAATGGTTGCTGGCTATTGTAGAAATGAGCAGTGCACACTAGCACCATGAGGAAGATGGCGAATTTTCTCTGTGCAAGTGAAATGACTTCAGTTAATCTCAATGACACTTGATAAGCCTGTGAAATGCAAGATTTGTAGCATATCACTGGAAAAATAGATCAGCCTTTTCATAGAACAAGTTTTAATTGTGCCTTCAGAGGTCAAGGTCCTTTGTTCATCATCAGTATCACTTGGCCTCATAACCACTGTACCTACCTACACTCTGCATTTGACTATAGTGGCATGCTGGCTGTAGTTGGGTGGAGAGCAAGTTCACTGTTTCTGCATTGTCTAACACTCAGCCTCTTTTCTTTCTATGTATAGGTGTTTTATACAAATGCTATAAATTTCCATGCACATGTGCGTGTAAAATTTTATTTATATCTTATATACTCTCCATGTAATTATCTTTGATTGACACAGCTACAATTTAAAGGATTCCTCCCTTTCTTCATGAATGCTGATATAGCAATTGGAACCTGCTCCTGTATTTTTAAATCATTTAGCTCAGCGTAGAAACTTAAATGTCAAAGTTCCTGACTGATTTAATCTCAAGTATTTGCAAGTTATATTAAAAAAATAAAAAATAAAAAAGGCAGAATTTGATTCCACAATGACATATGGAGATCAAAATGTAAGTATACCTTTTAATCGGAGAGAAAGCTGTACAGCAAAAGAAAAAAAATTCTAACCACAGGCAAGAGTGGCCCCATTTTGATAGGTTGTACTTGACCAAAAAAGGAGAAGCATTTTTGCCACCTACGTACTTGATAATATTAGACTTCAACATGAATGATTGTACTTTGGAATAATTATTTGTTTTATATATAGCTCTTAAAATATGTTTGTATATGTAATTAGGTAAAGAAAAATATTGATTTCTTGCAGGTTTTTTGGCTGTCCTAAAGGTAATGGCAAGGGTGTGGTGGAATCTCTTGTGTTTTCATAGAGATCTCAGTCCTAGTCATTGTTACAGAAAGTAAAATAGGAGAGTTCAAAGGAATGGTAGAATGCATCCCAATGTTTAAAACAGATGAATGTACTCAATGTCAAGACAGTGTTGCTTTATTGATATGCTTGTTTCCATTTCCTTGTATTTGACCCTGGTTCTCTGCTGTCTTGTGTAACAGTCTTTCTTGGAACATCTCCCTGTGGAAAAAAATGTGGAGCAATGATGTTCATGATCACTGACTAGATTCTTAGTTGGCATTCTATTTTTTTTTAACTTTTCCTGAGTGATGTTCCATCTGTATCTCCTGACAAAGAACTGTACAGGAAAAAAAAAAAAAAGCAAAATTCCTAGTGATAAGATTGGCCAATTAATTATATCATCTATTGATACAAGGAGAAAAATAAACCAGCTTCTTCATTTTCAGGTGAAATGCCAGGAAAATATCAATAACAGTTCCAAGGAGAGGAGCAGAGGCTACAATCTGTCCTATGCAATCACCTTTGGGTTGCTTTGTGAGGACAGAAATGTGTCACGTAAGTTATATGTTTCTCAGCTTCTCAGAGTGTAGTGGTGCTGGTCCTGTAATGGCAGCAAAGCCCATCCCACACTGTTTAGAAATAAATCAGAGCAGCTAGTTTTCTGAAAAACCTCAGGGAGGAAAAAGAAAGCAGTCTGATCCGTGTTTTCTATTGCAGAAGTTAAAATTTAAAAGTTGAAGTTGCTTGAGTTCCAATAGCAGAAGGCTAATATCTTTGATCCTCCATGTCATTCAGCCCTGGCAGAGGGATTCTCAGAAAAGCTCAGGACAATTCACATAGGAACAGATACGTTATTTGAGTAAAGTAACTGGGCTATTTTATAGGTACAGAATCCATGATACAGATGTTGATAAGGCTGCTCTGGATTTTCTACAGCTAATGGAAATCTATGACACCAACTATCAATATGCTTTTAACAACTCCTTACAGGTTCAGTCTTGGAATCATAGAACATTTGTACAGATGATGCTGCTCGTGGAGACACAAAAATCTGTTAAAACACCTCCAGTGCATCAGTAAAAGGTAGATATTATTTTATTTTCCACGTTGTTCATGTGTCCCTATAGCCCAGCTTGTTATCCTGGGCTCTATTTAGGACTCCTGGAAATCATTACACTATAGGGCCATCAGTCTCTGCTCCCAGTACTGACTCTTACTGTTGATCATGAAAGGAGGTCAGGGCTGACATGCCTGAAGCCAGATGTGGTGGATTTTAAACCCTTATTTTCTCCTACTGCTGTTATTACAATCACAGGCCCATCTGAATATGGTGCCTCTTCCCTCATCATTCACTGCATGTACCACTTTATAACCATTCAGAACTTTTTCTTATAGTGCTGGGAAGAAATTTGAGTTTTGACTGTTGCTACGAAGAGATGTAGCTGTTTATGTTGCCCAGGTCCTCTCCAAGTGACAACTCACAAGAAGGAGAAAAGAGACATCATTTAGGAGTTGAAGTAGATGACCTCCAGAGGTCCGTTCCAACCTCAACCATTCCACATTTCTGTGATTAGAAGAGATTTGATCTATCCACTTAGCTGTGGTTGCTACTCTGGTAGCTTTTGAGGAAGCCTTCTCAAGGTTTGTCCCACCTGGAACATGTTGAAACAGCACAACCAGAGAGATGAAAGTTGCCAAAATCCCAATGGTCAAAAAAAAAAAAAAAAGGCAGATTCAGCTGCAGTTTATGGAAACAGGCATAATTGTTAGGGTTCAGAGCTGGCACTGAGCAGAGAAGCTGGCTTCCAACTCAGGAGGTCACTCAAACTCTGGGTTTGGACTGTCCAGTTTTCTCTGAGAAATCATGCCCAAATGTTTCTGTGTGGTGCCAAAACCAGAAAGTATGTAAGTCTTCTCACTGTAAAAAATCAAGCAATTATTACAGGATCTGGATAATCTCCACATGCATGCAATAGGAGAAGTTTAAGGAAAGTTTTTTGGAAAGAGAAAATTTTGTCTCATTAAATTTGGTGGCAAAGAAATTCCAAATTGCAAGCATGATTTCACCCTGTATTATACTCTCACCATTGTGGAGATTTTTGGTTATAGATAAGGATCAGCCAGGGTTTATAACAAAGTTTATTATGTAGTAAGTCTGTAGCAGCAATTAAAGTTCCAAAACAGTTTTCACATACTAGTAATTTAAAGAAAAGTACATCTCTGAAGATGTAATTTTCCATTTTAATCTCCATCCAAAGATATTCTTTAACTTTGGACAAATTCCTGTCAAACAGTTTGAGTTATAATTGTATGGAAAAAGATACTTTGCCAGATGTAAGAAAAAGATGACTGCTGACTTTTTTTTTTTTTTTTTCTACAAGATAAGCCATGAGTGCTGACCTCTGAAGAACAGTATATAAATAATCACTCAGGAACTTGTTCATAAATGGACAAGAAAAGTAAAGTGGAAAAAAAGCTTACATTATTAAGCCTGAATGGCGGGTAATAAGAATGAACAACAGGAAAATGGCAATGAGATATTTAAATTCTTTTTGATTCTCAACCTTCTGCCTAAACCATACCTGAGACAGTAAACTTAGTACATATGGAACTGGGGCGCCACATAGGTATCAGAGCATGGGTTATTTCAACTTCCAGTGTAAAAAACTGTGACTAAATTCAATATCACAAATGTTTCTTGGAATTGCATCAATCAACTTAAAAACATATATTAATTATTTCATTGCAAGGCAAATTTGGAAGAAAGTAATTATATAGAATGGTTCTGAATGAAGAATTAATTTACTTATTTACTAATAAAGAATTGGTTTACTTGTATATAAGTTGTCCCAGGAATAGAATCCTGGGGCATCATGAGAGAAGTGACAGAGTAACTGGACACCTTATCATGTAGAGGTCTTAGTAAGATGCTCAGTGTACTGAGTGAAAGAAATCATTGATCCAAGGTTCATCCAGCTGTGTTTGCCATCCTATCTACTCATCACAAAATTTGTCGGATTTATGCAGAGCAAAAAACACAGACATAATTCCCCACAAGTCCCCAGAGGTGTTTTTCAGTATGGTTAGTTATATATGGAAGATACATCAATGTTTCCTTGATGTCTTGATGCCTTGATGACAGCACAAAATCCTCAAATAAGTAGCTATAATACAATACAATGGTCTAACTGTGTATTTTTTATAATGTGCCATAAACTTTTCATTATCTACAATGTATGCAAACCAGGATCAATTTTCTTACACTGGCACCGCAAGTACAACTCTAAGATCCAGCTAATGGTATCATGGTGCACTGGTTTATTATTTCAGTTTCTGATTGATTTTATAATATTAAAAACAAAATAAACTGAGATTTTCATTTCTCTTACATTTGTAGAAGTAATTCTTTATGAAGCCTTAATGAAGATACGATAATGAATCATCTTAATAATAATGTGCCATTATCAATATGCATTTGTTTTTCACAAGAAGGATATTTTAGGATGGGGGGATAGAACTAGTTCTGAAAAGCAGACTAAAATTAAAGCTTCTGATGCCCAGGTGAAGGCATTAAGAAACTAAAATACCTGAGTTTAGGAAACCCCCAGCTTTGTGATCATGGTTGGACATTCCATCCATAATACTAGATATAGAAGGAAAAATACAACACTCTGTATTGCTGTGGCTCCTGGAAAAGCCAAAAATGTGGGTATCAGTTATTTGCTGGACAGCATGAAACCACAAAATAAATTTAACAGTTTGGAGTTCTGATCCTCCTAATTTATGCTGCTGTTTTGCACTGTCCTTAGAAAAAGCACAAGTCTAAAAAAAAGCCAAGGATGTAATAACCTGATTTCTATTATATGCTTGGCCTTTGATGGAAGTTTTCTTATTGATTTCAATAACTTGAGCTGTATAGATTAATCTTTATGTGCTTTTCTTTACTGAGACTACTCCCAACCTTGGAGTTAAGCATTAAGGTTCAGATCCTCACGGGCATTTATGTGTTTAATTATTTTCCCACATCAGAACTAGCAGATAAAGACATGTTCCAAATTCTTGGCCATAAGGGCATGACAGTTTCTAGACACTTGTCTCTGAAACAGGCAGCCTGCCAAGTGGAAGGCTTATTTGCCTCAAAACTTCAAGAATCCAGTGTGTCAGGCTGGCACAAAGAACCGGCCACTAAATTCAAATCACGGAATACATACAAGCATAATGTTTTCCTTTTGGCAATGACAACTACTGGAATGTAATACAACATTTGAAAAAAAAAAAACTCTGCTAGTGTCTATATTAATCTTCATGCCAATAGTGAGAATTCCACACTAACAGTGAACTAATTATCTAAAAAAAAAAAAAACCAGCCATCCTCATGAAGAATCTGACTTCAGAGAGTGTTGGGAAATACTCTTTTTCATGTGCGACCTGAAAGCTTCCCTTTGTACTGTTTACTTTTGGCCTTCTTCAGTCCTAGCAGAGGATTTAAACGTGTCGCCTACCCTTTTTGACTCTTTAAATATGTTGCTTAATTCCATCAACAGAGGTCACTGCCGCTCTTTTGCTCCTTGGTGAAAGCACGCCTTTTCCAGAGATAAAACAGAACAACTAATGCTCTCTTTTAGCAGAGTTTTGGTTTACTCTTTAGAGACTGGTTTGAGAAAATTCATGCATAATATTGTGAGGTTGAAAATAAAAGCAACAATAATAATAATTGATAGGAAAATATTGAAAAAAAATCTCTTTTGATCCTTGGAACTTAATGTAATTTATGCAGTTTTTATTACAGTGATATTTTAAGTTTTGTCGCTATATTTCCCTTTCTTTTCATTTCCTACAAGCAAGGAAATCCAGCAAATCTGGTCTTGGCACCAGCAGTCATATCTGCTCGGCAGCTCTTGGTAATTCAGGATAAAAATTTTTGCACCAGGGAAGAATAAGAGAAAAATTTCTGAAAGAGCACTTTCAAATCGCTAAGGCTTGGTTAACAAATTTATCAGCAGTCATCACTTTCATCTAAATCCACGTTTGCATAATTAAGAAAATGATGAAGAAAAATTTGGCAATATCTATCATTAAGAGGAATTCAAGCCAAAAGGTCCATTTGAGCTAGCAGTAATGTGAGCCTTGCAGTTTTCTATTGCAAAATCCATTACAGTAGATTGAGCCAAAAATGCAGACAAAGCTCCTTCAGAACTAAAGAGAATATAGGAGTTGTACACAGTGAGACACTGTTAAAAATATAAATTACCTTCTTATGTGTACAAGCAGAAATACCTCAGTTTATCAGGAAAATAAAACTCATTTCAGAACCAAAGCAGTCATAATGTCTACTTTTGAAAAGGTGATATTCATTCATAGTTGTCAAAACTGCTGAAAGGATCAGGACAGTGGATTTCCACTTCGGACAGATGTGTTTAGATGTTCACCATGAAGATGCCTACTAGTGGGGTAGGTGTCTGAGCTCCAATTGCAGCTGATGGAGTCTAAATCGCTTGCCAGAACATTGCAAAGCAGCCATCCATGTTTGTTCAAAGGATGTGAGCCACTGGCTGCCTTGAACTGATGCCCATGGACTCCAGCCCCAGGAGTGCAGGCCAGCTGCCATAAGGCTGCCTCAAGTCCATCTCTGCACTCCATCTGCTGATCCAATGAGCAGAAGGTTCCCAGAGTTTCCATGCCAAATCTAGCACCTCTCATAGTTTGGGTCACGTCTGTATGACATAGCCTTGTGTGACTTTATTTTACATGTGAGAAAACTGACACGTAGAAAGCTGAAGAGATTTGTCCTAGTTCTAACACAAACCAAATACCTGCAATCTCTGTTCCTTACTCAACAAAGAAGTAAAGAGAAGGAGAAATAAATTCCAAGAGTTTCTGATTCAGCTTCAAAGGAAAGAAGTATATTTCCCATAATATATTTATCCCTCACAAGTCCCTTCAGTGTTTTTTGTTGCTCTGGAAAACACGCAGAGCAGACTTTGTTCTTGGAAAAGAACAATTATGGGAAAAATAAGTGAAGAATTTTATTTTCTTTAAATTACATACATTTTAAATATGACAAAATTTTTGGTGTTTTCTTA